TCCTCCCTTTTCATCTATAGTCTTTGATTGAGTGTTACATTCCTGTGAAAGCCTCTCTGACTACCCTATTTAAAATTGACACACACCCCTACACACACACACACACACACACACACACACGCACACAATTCTTCCCTGCTTTACTTTTCCCCGTATGCTTTTGCCAGATGTTATTCTTATTTTTCTATCATCTCCCCCCTCCATCTCAAAAATAGACTTCATGAGAGATGAAATTTCTATCTGATTTATCCTCTGCTGTACTTCCAATGCCTACAGCAGCAACTGACTCATAGTAGACACAAAAAATATTGGTTGAACAAATGAATAAACTATTTTCTTTGGGATTAGCAAGGTAGGGATTTCAAGCCAATAGAAGAAGTAATATAAGACAAAGCTTTTCTTAGTCACATTCAAAGGTATCAATACCTTAAAATCTACTGAATATTTTTCACCGAGTGTGCAGGAGAAAATTGAGCAGGTAACCCAGTTGTGCAATTGATGATAGGAATTGTGCACGTCCAAAATACGCCCCCTTTTGCTCAATGTGCCATTTGTTTAACGGATGATCTTCTGGTTTGTTGCTGATGATATAGAATTAGGTCTTACAGACCACAGAGCAGCATGGTTGATTTGGTGTTTTAAACTCATTCAAATTACTGTTTGAAATAATTATGACTGCTCTTTGTCCAAATGTGGTCACAAGTGTGAACAGTTGGTCAAAATTTCTGTATAGAAGGTTTTCAGGGACTGCAAGATGTTAGCAAGGGGCCATGGCTAAGCAGCTTGTTCCACCTTTCCCTTGCATGGTATTTTCATAAGCCTGAGCAACAATCGGTTTTCTGCCTCAAAATGTGGAAGAGCCAATAGAGATTAAACCACCTCTCGATGACTGAATGTGATCAAATTCTGAATATTCTAAATACTTATGAAATATACCATAGGAAAGAATTATATTTTTAATTTATATTGGTATGATATATTTCAGATGTATCATATATTTTAAAATTTCGGTTCCTAGATTGTGTATTTTCTGTTAAGCAGAATTATAATAGATTTTTTGTTTTGTTTTTTGAGTTTTTTTGTTTTTTGTTTACCTATGCAGAAAAATCTGGGAACTTAAATCTTGAAATATATGATATGTCTAAAATATATCATACCAATATAAATTGAAAATATAATTCTTTTTATGGTATATTTCATGAGTATTTAGAATATTCAGAATTTGATCACATTCAGTCATCGAGAGGTGGTTTAATCTCTATTGACTCTTCCACATTTTGAGGCAGAAAACCGATTGTTGCTCAGTCTTATGAAAATGCCATGCAAAGGAAACTTCTAAACATTTTGTTTTGTGCAGTATCACTCTGTAAATATGGATCTCTTTTTGGAACAGATGTCCACACGAGACAAATGTGGCCCTACCTATGTAAGATGAGCAGGAGACAATATAATTTATGAGCTGATCTAACAGAAAGGCACTGAGTTAGGTTTTGTTAAACTAATATTATGGCTGGCAAGGATGACATGTCAGATGTTGCATTCATTTTAAAGACCAAGTCATTTCAATAAATCATTTTTATAACCTTAGCACATTATATAGGTACCATACCGATAGAGGGTGTGTTTAAATGTGATGGACACGTCCGTTTGCTTCACTACATCCTGTGTTTCTCATTTCATTTTCCAAAGATGTATTCATCAGATTATTTTTTATGAATTGATTCATATTTTATTCTTATTCATATGTTCTTGTTTATTGATGCTGTTACGCTTATTTGATTCTTCCTTGTACATACAGACTTGACTTACATAAATATCATTACAGTGTTTCTCCCTTGCACAAAAAGCAAAAGTAACCTCCTTTTTTAATACTGTTTTCAATGTAGTACAGTGAAAAAAACAATACACAGGACTCATCTGGGGCTACTGAGCATAAAAAACTTCATTTGAAACAGCTGTATCCTATAAGATAATGTGTTGTATTTCAGAATATTTAAGGTTGAATTTCTTTACTGTGTGAATGCTATACTATTTTC